AAAAACGCATGGGCGGGGGCGCCCAGGCGCTGCCTGGGCTCTGCCGCCGGCGGGTCTCTCTGCATCGCGGGCGAAGCCGCCAGGAGGCACTCCTGGGCCCCGGCTGGTTCCCTGGGAATGGTGCCTACCCTTCGGTTGCTCAGGCAACAACCAGGATGGAACGGGGCAGCTCTGCGCTGAACCAATGACTGCTCTACACTTACTGACCCCCCCCCCTTGATCCACAACCAACCCGACGCGAATTGCAAAAGGAAAAAGAGAGAGAGAACATGCAGCTGTTTGGTGAAACGTGCGCTCTTTGCAGTGAATTTCTAGAGTGAACCTTAGAAATAACCTGGACTGGAACTTGAGTCGTTTGCAAAAAATGAGAAATCGAGAGAAAGGGAAATGGAGAGCTTTGCCAAAACGAGGAAGGGGGAGAAGTGGACACGTGGAGGGCTTTTCCAGACTGAGATGAAACAAAAGGGGCAGATTTGTCCTTCCCAAATGTAGAACGAGAATGGTGCCCCCCCCAAAACCTTCTGAAACTCTCACATCCCAGTAATCTGGGTGCAGCACAATCGCTTTTGGAGCTGTTTCTGAGCACGGATCGGACGGTATTAGGAAGTTGGCGTTGATCCGTCTCTTGAAACCCTCCGCCCTGTTTGTGGAGAGAGGGGAATCTTGCTGGCAAGATTCTTGTTTCTCCAGCAGCAGGAGAAATTCTCCCCACCGTTCCCTGGGGTGGGCTGACCCATCAGCTGCGGCTGTTAGCAGAGCTTTTTCTCCCCTTGATAAGGAATATTTCCCCCTCCTCCGGCAGCCCGACCACCATTGCGCACTTTCCCAAGCGGCTTCGGGAGGCTTCGCCACCTTCTAACCGCCCTTGGCGGGGTGTGTGTGTGTGGGGTGTGTAGGAATCTAATGAGAGCTGATTTCTCTCAGGTTTTGGGGGGGGAAGCGCTGGGATACTAATATAATTGCACGGAAGATTGCGAAGAGAGAATGGAAACGCAGCAGCTTCTGCAGGAGAGATGACGTTGAGTCTCCCCACTTCTCTCAGGGCTTAATTTTGCCTTGCCAAATTTGCACACCGCTGATATTTGCTCATTTGTCACACGTAGAGCGTCCTTTCCCGAGAGCTAAACAAACTCCACATCAAAACCCTTGCAGCAATCGGGGGCTCCCTCGGGAATGAGAGCCCAGCCCGCTGGCACGAAGCCAAAGCTTTGGGGTGCCCGGAGCAGGACCGGACCCTCGCCAGTTCAGAAGCCCCTTGCCCGCCGCCCGCTGGGAGAGGAGCAGGAGGAGGGGGCGGCTGTGGGGTGTCCTGAGGCTGCTCCGAAGGGGGCCAGAGGAGGCAGGAGGCAGCCGGACTGAGTCCCTGCACAGGCGAGGCGACGGGGCCGTCCGTCCCGACGGGGCCAATTAAAAAGGAAGTTTCTTGTTCTGAACATTGCTGTGTTTGTTTCCATGCCTTTCCCTGGTGCCCCATGCCAGCGCTGGAAGCCGAATCAGAGGCCTTGGGAAGAGGCCCAGGGGCTTTTGGGGCCAGGTGCAGACTCGAGGGCCACGGTGTTCTCGGGAAGCATCAGGGAGGTCTTGAAAGGGGAAGGCTAGCTGGGGGTCCAGTTCTTAGCGCTGAGGACTAGGAACATACAGAGCCGCTGGATACAAAGTCAGGCCACTGACCTTTTGAGCTCCGTCGGCCGCACTGATGGATTTGGGTGAGGTTTCTGTCCATGAACGCCATGGAGAAGAAGGCCCCTGGGTGCAAAATATTCCTGAACGGAGCAAGGGGTTGCACTAGGTGGTCTCCAGGACCATTCCCGACTTCGGGATTCTAATCCGGAACTTCCTGCAGAGGCTCCACCACTGAACGATGGCTCTTTCCATCGCAGACGTGAGCCGAAGTCTCTGAGTATCACAGATGAGGGACAGCATGGATCATTCCAGGTTCAGCACCAGGGTCTTCCCAAGATGGGGTGTGGGTGTGCAAGGGGGCCTTCTGAATGCCAAGCGGTGCCCCTGACTGAGCTGACGAGGAGAGGAACCGTCTTCTTTCGGCTCAGGGAGGGGGAACCGCTGGCCCCCAGACGTCCCTCTGCCCAGACGACAACAGGAAGTGGAAATGCGGAGCATCCATTCTGAGTCTCCATCCTATTACGTCCATTAACCAGCTGCAGCCAGCTGTTCTGGCCTGAGATGCATTAGCAGGAGATGCTGGGATGAGCAGAGAAGGACAGGACGTCCTGCTTATGTTAATTCCTTTTCTATCAAGCGCAGGCATCTTCCATCTGGCCCCAAGGATGCTCCAGGTCTTGGGCAGGGGCAGCTGGTGACGAAGCCAATCTTTCTTTGATTCTCCCAATTTTAGTTGGGTGAAACGGAGAAGGATACCAAGAGCTGCTGTATCAGCTGAGCGTTTTCCTGGGGAAAATACTCAGATCTGCTTGCCTAATTTTTATTTGTTTGCCTGGCAAAACAAAGACTCAGAGGGAGCAGAAGCCCTCTCTTTCCAGTCCTCAAAGCCAGCTGGAAAAACCAGCAATACGCTGGACAGAAGCTCCAAAATGCCAGGAAAGATTTAGGCAAACTCTCATCTACCACTTCCCTAGCAAAAACCCCCTTTCCCCAACCATGAGAGCTAGAAACTTGGGTAATTCTTGGATGAGCCTTTCTCGTATCTCAGCAATGGATTCGAGGAAACATCGCCCAAAGGCTCACCGAGCTAACGGTGTGCCTCGCGGCATCGGCCACCTTCGAGTCGGGCGCGAGTTGGCATTCCTTACCGATGTTAGAGAACATTCAGAGATGATGATCAGGATCCAGTTACCGAATGCAACTATTCTACGCCCCCCACTTCTGCTCCTGATCACCCGATCATGAAATCAGATGATGATCCGATCATTAACGTTGCCATTTAGATGCACGAGCGCTTTGTCACAGGCATATGAACGGGGGAGGCGGGGGTTCAGCAACACCCAGCAGAAGCGGTGCCCAAATGCAGGGGTGGGGGAGGCTGCAGATGGTGAGTGGGCCGGGCAGTGGGTAACCGTGGCACGGGTGTGCGTTAAGGGAAAAAAAAGAGCGGAGGGAGAAACACTGAAGCTCAGAGAAAGAAAATAAGAAATCACAACATCAGAGCCAAGGGGGTAGAAGATCAGGACCCTGGTGTTGCTGGCCTCTGCACGGGAGCACAAACACACTCCTAACTGTGGGTCAAGAAACTTTCAACTTATTCTGTTGCCGAGAAAACCACAGGGCTGGGTCCCTCTTGTCAGGCAGAGCTCAGCTCAAATGGAAAGAAAGAACCTGAAAGGTTGGAGCCAAAGTTACTCTCAGCCTCAGATCAATTGCTAAGAAAAGCACAACGAAGCAAGGAGGGAGAGCGTAACGCTTCCCCTTTCATTTTGAAAATAAAACTCCCAGGCTAAAACTCCCGTCCTCCATTCGGGGAGAAGACGGCCATCCCAAACACGATTTCTGCCCGCGATGCTGGCTCCCGGCTCATGGGAAGCCCAAAGCCCCTCCTGCCGCAGCTGCTGGCGGGAGGGAAAATAAATTATGCAGCGAGTCACCAGCCGCCTTTGAGGCAAAATCAAGATTAATGCTGCCGGAGAGAAGCGAAGACCAGGTGGAGAGGTGGGATTAAATGACCATTAATAAACGGGGCTCGTCTGCGTGATTCTTGGACGAGCCTTTTTCGTATCTCGGCAATGGATTCGAGGAAGAATGCCAGAGGCTCACCGAGCTAATGGTGTGCATCGCGTCATCAGCCGCCTTTGAGTCAGGTCCGGCTTCCTTGGGGTCTGTCAGCCTTCCCTGGTGGACCAGACAGGAACCATGACCAGAGGAGCTAATTCTACATTATTGTAGGGCTACATTAACAGAATCTTGCAAGTCTGAAAGCACAAATCTCCCACCATCTCTTTTACAGCCCGAGAAGTTAGGGAGGGTCCTTTCTGAGTTTCTTTCTCTCCACTCCTTATGCAGCTGCGGGCTATGCCCCCTCTTATCTGACCATTCCCTAGGCAGCATCTCTTTGCCCCATCTCTCAGGTCTTTCTCACATACCATTACAGGGTCTTTGTGGATCTGCAACATCTGGAAGTGCTTGCCATCCTCTTCTTCTGGTTTCCAGCCACAGCCCTGGGATCTCCTGTTTGTCTCCCCTCCAGGACCCTGCTTATCTTCTGAAGATTGGCCAAGAGGGGTTGGGTGCTGCCAACTAGCTGGGCAAAAACACAAGGAAGGTTGATGCTTTTTCACTTCCCAAGTCCAGGCGGTCTTAATCTTAGCCAGACACTTCATCACTTCATAGCACAGTAACCATGGCTCAGCTAACCACAATTAAGCAGCCATTAGCTGGCTTCACACAGCCCACTTTTTTTCTTCCAGAAATGCCTGAAAAATACTGAGTGAAAAATAGCAGCTTCTTTCCTTAGTCCCTCCAAATGCCAGCAAACCTCCAACACAAGAGTTAGTGAGAGTGGAACTTGAATTAAAAGGGCTTAACATTGGGGGGAAAAATGGCATTTTTACTTCCAGCATCTAAAAACAACCACTTCCAGACACACAAAGCAGGATATTTCCCTCTGATCCAGCTGAACAGTCACCTAATCTTCTCCTTCCCTGTTCACTGCTGATCGAGATATTTATGCATAAACATAAATTTATTTATGCCTAAAACAGCACAAGAAGCTGTTTCTTGCAACTGTGGAGCAGCATCAACACAAAGACGGATCCCGAATAGGAAGCATCGGTGGCAAAAGGTTGGAGGCAAAAAACCCAAACTGCATAAATTCTAAACCAACCACAATTTCTGTTTGAACTTTTCTGAGCTCAACTGCAACACGATACAAACGAATCAAGGTCATTTAGGCAGATATATATATATTTTTTAATCCAAGCAAATGGGCCTTCCTGCATGTTGATACAACACCCCGCCACGAGTGATGCCAACAATGCCATCGAGATCTTTTGGCTCCAATGCTTCACCTTCATTTAATTATGGAGCTGGAAGGGGCCACGAGGATCATCTAGTTCAGCCCGCTGCAGCCCGCAGGAAACCAGTTAGACGTGGAGCAGAGAAATTACAGGGACTGGACAATGTAGAGGTCTTTCCAAAAAGGCAACCCGGGAGACTGGGAATGCTTTGGAGGAGGGAAATTTCAAAAAGTTACGTCGGCAGAGCAGAAATAATCTTATTGATCCACGGACCATTTATTTGTACAAGATGCTTTTTTTCCCCAACAGGTAGCCAAAAGGACGTTCATTCACGCATAAAAATTTACTTTCCTCCCTTAGCATTTCCTACCACAGTCTCTCCCCTCTGCAGGATGCCACTTGTACGTACTTCTTTCAATAATGTCTTTTTCACCCACGGCCCCTTTCTCTCAACTCCGCGCTTTGCCACGCTTCCAGATTTATGGAGGCTCTTCTGCGCGGTAATTATTGTCAGCGCTGTTAGAGTCCCTCGGTTAATCTTTTTTTAACTTTCCATCTGCCTTGGCCTTTCAATCAATTTAATGAAGGTGTACAAGCCACCATCCAACTTTGCCTAACAAGACTGTGACTTAAAACAAATGCGTCTTAGGAGGGAAGCTGTCTACCGAGGGCGATTCTAGGCGTTACGGAACGTAAAGTAGAAATGAAAAGAAATTTGGACGTGAAAGCGGGCGCAGACTGAACGTGTGCAAGTGATCTGCGAATGAGCCGAAGGGAGTTCAAGAAAAGCCGCCCTAACCTGTACGTAATTGGAAAGAAATTAACGTAGGCACAAGAACTCTTCTAAAAAAAACAATTTTACCAAATTAATTCAGTCTTCCTACCACCATTATCACCTTGGCATATTATTTAACCTGCCTGTTGGGGGGGTATTGTTTTCCAAATGTTCAGCTAGAACTGTGACAGCACATTAAGCCATAAGAAGCTTTATTCATCTGAACGTCACATGTTGTGTGAATGCAGGAGAGTTTGGTGAACCCCGATTTAGAACCACCCATGCCTTGTGAATCCAGCTTCGAGGTATATTCAGCATGCTAACGCCAAGCCAGCCAACGATGTGATCATGCAAAAGGTTGAGCGAACATGGTGGTGTGTGTAAACCAAGGTTTGCGGTTGAGCGTGTTGTGTGAACCCCTTCAGAGGCGGCTGAATTCAGGGAACGATGCTTAAGCGCGCCCCAGCTTAGAGTCCTCCTACAGCAGTGTTGTCCAAACTTGGCCACTTTAAGATGAGTGGACTTCAACTCCCAGAATTCCCCAGCCAGCTGGCTGGGGAATTCTGGGAGTTGAAGTCCACTCATCTTAAAGTGGCCAAGTTTGGACAACACTGTCCTACAGGGACACAACCCTCGATCTGGACTGCAGAGATTTTATGCTGGGGATGGATCTGGGTGATCGGGCCCGGATTTCCACTCTGTCTCTTTCTGAGGCTCTTTCAGGGCTTGTCCTTTCCCGCTTGGGAGCCGCTGTGACCCGCACAACTCGTACAGAGGAGAGGACTCCTCCTTGGGCCCCTTACGCAGGGGAGACCCTTCCCCAATTGTGCACTTTTCTTCTAAGAAGAGGAAGCCGGAGGCAAGACCAACCCGAGCATGGAGGGAAGACCAGCCTCTCCGAAGCCCTACAGCTCCTCCCTGGCGCCCAACACATCCCTCTTTCGGCAGGCTAGCTTGGTGTGAGAGTTGACACGCGGGTTGAGAACACGGCCCTTCAGCCACGTATGCCCCTGGACCTACCTTTATGTGTTCAGGCGTGTCCTTCGCCCCGCAGATTTGGCTGGATGAACATGGCCATCGGAGGTGCTCGGCTAACTTCTTTGGGCCCCTAATTCCCCCCTCCTCTTTTTTAAAGTCTGACTCTGAGGTGGGCGACGCTCCATGAAATGAAGAGGCTGCCATTGTGGGAACTGGCCTGCAAAGCTGCTTGTTTTACTCTTTGTAACCTCTCCACCGCCTCAGAGGGCGGTTGTAAAGCAGTGAGAATAGACACAGGACCATTTCCGACACTAGAAATGGGGTGGTATGCAATGGAATCCGGCCCGCAGCCCAGTTTGGGGTCTCTCCCTTTTTTAAAAACATTGAACGTGCAACAACTGTGGGAGAAGACGGATGTTGTCATTGCAGGATACGACCTGCCAAGCTGCAGGGGTGGCCGAAATTAAAGGAGCTTTGCCCCGAGGTCCCTTGTGGCAAGACTTTGCAAACAATACGTCCCTCTTCCCCCTCCCTCCATTCTTCCCCTTGATTTCACAACTCAACTATTCCACAGGAAAATGCTGACGTAGTTTAGCACGCTGGGCAGGCGAGGAGGGAACTGCATATGAAAATATATGAATATTTATGCATACATTTCAGGCTTCGCTACATTCGAGAGAGAAAGGCGCTTGGAGACAGGAGTTGTGAATAATTAACCTGTTTCTCTTTGTTCTGTGCATACACGTGCATGCGTAGAAGTTATGTAGAAGCCCAAACTGTTCGAGGAACATGCTTAAGAAACCCCTTTTTGCAAGACAACACACTGACCTGGTTCCTCCTCGTGTGGGTAACTCCCCGGCTCCTTACGGTAGCTGTCGCAAGCCACGCTCGTGCACTGGGTGGAACGCGTGAGGTCTGGCGTGGAGCAAGCTGTGGTCACGAGTGGTGGGCGCAGTGGCAGAGCGGGTCTCCCCGAGGGCCTTTCGATCTGGCCAAGAGAGATGGTGGGGAAAGAGAAGACGGAAACAGTCAACAGCTGGAAGGGGTCTGTGGCAGCTCATCTCTGAAACAGCTGCTTGGCCCAGGTGCGGAGAGGCCGGGAAGAAGCGTTTCATCCGCCTTAATGAACTCACTACACGCGAGGCTGAGAAACCCCCCGTCCAGTTGCCAAGAGGCTGCGTTTAAAGCCGACTAGCGTGAAAGGTACCTTACCACATCTGTGCCATTCTTGCTTCTTCCTGGCTCTTGCCCAGCTGCAGGGAGGTTGGCCGCTGACCCCCCTTCCCTGTTCAGTGCAATTTCATCCCCCAGAGCGGGGAGAGGGAGATCTCCAGTCTCTGTTTAAAGTCCCTCTGCTAAGGGGCTGGTCCCGAGGGTCCAGCTGCTGAACTAATTGCAGCTGTTTTACACCAAGCTTCCTCGCCTGTGCTTGTTCCTGGAGCAGCTGGGAAGAATCAGGGCTGAGGCAAGGGGAGAGGAATTTTTGGGCTGAAAAGCACGCTCAGGCCCTAGTTTTAAAGTTATCATTCTTACCTAGCATAGAGGGGAAATGCGATCAGGGCTGTGTCGGCACCACACGTAAACCAGTTAAAATCCTAGCAGGTGCGCTTACACAGCGGCATACGACGCAAGGCTAATTTTAACCTTGTTGCTTCGGTGGCTTGCGATTTAGGACGTGAAGAATCCAATCTGTGGTTTTGTGCTGCTTTCCCCCCACGTGGGCGTCTCTTTCTCCTCACCAACCCTCACTCCAAAAAGGCAAAACAAAATCCCCGAGCACCCTAATTTTGACGAGGTTCTACACGGGGCTGCGTCAAGAGGCGTTCTGCGGAGGGTTTGGCTAACAGACAGGAGATGCCCACGCCACGTGGCGGTAAAACACTCCACAGGAAAAGTCTCAAGGCACTTAAAAAAACGAGGCATTAAGATGATGATGATGATGATGATGATGATGATGATGATGATGATTTTGCAGTGGCTTTTAAAAGTTGTTAAATATTGGCAAGGAAGAGGTGGGGGGAGAAAAGAGTTGTGGGCAGAATTTCAGTGAACTACTCAGAATTAAGACCCCATGAAATTGCCTTCAGACCTTTGAATGCTGGCCTGTGACCGTAATAAAGATGTGGTTTGATTTGATTCAGACCTTGGACCCATCTCACCAAGGGCCAGAAGCGCTTTTCCCACCCAACCTGGAAGGTGGCAAGGATGAAACCTTGAACCTTATTTATCTGGGGAACTTTGCAAAGCTTTCGGTAGCCATTCCATGCCCAGATCCTCTGCGGATTTTTGAATTGGCCCTCAAGGATGTACGGCCCTGGTTTGAAACGCTTCGCACCGGAGGATGCAGCAGTTGCGCCGAAGAGCTGGTCCGCGAGGAGCGACGGCGATCTAATTTCCTAAATTCTGCTTCTTTCCCCAAGTTCCCATCACACACAGAGATGCCCATGTTTCCATGGCAACCTGCAAGGGCCCTTGTGTCTAAGAAGTTAATCCAAGTTATTTCTGTGTTGCGGGCGGGAGGTGTTGAGCTGCGCAGAAAGTTCACCGCTTTTCTCAGACTCTTAAGAAGCCGCAACTCCAACATTGGCTCGGCGCTCGAAAAAGGCTTTGGTGGTGGGGCCTGTTGCAAATTTGGACCAGTTATGTTCTTTCCCTGCCTCTTCTCAATCCATGTTGTAGTCTCAAGGCAGGAATTGCTAAACCCATGGCAGCACGAGGTGCGTTGAGAAGAACCCCCAGCCCCAGAGGGGCAAAACAGGGGACACCAGGAGGACAGGACGAGGCACCCCTTCCTCCATTCTCAGAAATCTCAGGGGGTGGGTGCCAAAAGGATGGTAGCCAAAGGAGACCCTCTGAAACCAGAAGGAAAGATCAGCATGTTCAGAGTGTGCAAAATCCTGAGCAGGAACTTCCAAGAGAAGCATCCTTTTTAAAATATTTCATTCCAAATTCCACTTTTGGAATCCAGCGCTCATAGATGGATGGCCACCAAGCACGTGTCACTTTTGGGCCCATCACATTGCCCCTTGGAGACCACTTCTAGGAAGTTCTTCCTGGGAGACATTTCTAGGAAGTCTTCCTTGGAGACCACTTCTAGGAGCCAAAGAGGAAGTTCTTCCTCCCTTTGGGCCTTCCAACGTGGAGTGGGGAGATGGTAACACTGAGCACCCCTTTCTGTTTCTTTTCCCCACTTCCTGCCAGACAGGTGGCCTCCATTTCCTCCCAAATTGCGGATGGAGAAGTCAGATGGAGGATTGCTACAAATTTCTCTGGGGAAAGGAGAAGTCCTGTGGCTATTTCTTAAGGGCAAGATCCCGACCCCAGTGGGAACAGGAGCAGTGCTACTGAAACCCTCCCCAGGAGAAGAACCTGCAAGTTCTCCCTGCTGGGGTTAATGGAGACCAGCGAGGTTCCTTGGCCAGAGACCTGTACAATGAAAGGACATTCACACACGCTTGGCCACCCCACTGCTAAGGCAATTCAAGAGCCCCTCTTTTCAGCTTAGCAAAACTCTACGAAACACTCTTTGCCTCTGAAACATTTCCAGAGCACTTGCTTCTTCATCAAACAGCTTGAGAACTGTCAGGCAAAAACAGAGGATAATTTTTCGGTCTGGCACTTGCGTTAGAGACAGAAATCTTCTCTGCCTTTACAGGGGTCTTTACAGGGCTTACAGAGGTGGGGTGGCGTTAAGTTGACCCACTGGGTGAGCTAGGGGCCTCCAAATGGGTCTTCCCCACCAGGAACCGGGGGTCAAGCACCCAGCAATAGAGGTCCTCTTGGGGAGCTGAGCCCCAGCCTCACTGAGCGCACCTCAGGGGCTTTTCGTCTCTCAAACCCCATCTCTTACTGCTGCTGATGATGCTTCAAGGCTTGGGGCCGCTGGATGGAGCTGAGGCAACAATGGAAAACTGCCCCAAATCATGAATGGCTGCAAACTTGCAAAGGGAGGAAAGGGAAACGGAGCAAAACAGAACTTCGGCAGACCCGCACCGATATTCTGCACGAGAACCTTCCTTGCCTACCAGCCGCCCATCAGAACAGCCAAGCCCTGGGTTTGGGGGATGCGGTTGCTATAGAAACTGAACATCTTCTGAACAGCTTCGACTGAGGCTCCAGGACCACAGTGCAGCTTCTTTCTCTCTCTTCTCCCGGCGGGGAAATCTCCTGCGGTTTCAATAGTCTGCTTCTCTGCACGTTGTAAGGAGATCTTAGCTATCTTCTGTTCTTCCCAAGCAGAAGGTAATTTAGGAGACAAAAGGAGGTGTTGATAAAGAAACTGCCTTCCCAAAGCAGTGCTGACATTCATGAAGGGGTCCCCCGCAGCCGCCAGACCTTGAAAACTGATCAGGAGCCTTCGTGGAGAGGGTGGGGAAAGGGAGGGTCAGTGCAAAGGTGGTCCAGCTTGTTCTTACAACATTGAGCTTGAGAAGATCTGGGAATGACCCACAGAAATGGGCTGCAGGGCTCTGGGTCCGCTGACATCATGAAACTTATTCCTTTGCTCCTTGTGGGCGGTTGGTTTTGTTGCTCTCGTGTTGAGTCTAAGTTTCCAGACCAATCGAGAAGGAAATCAGCATTTGACGCTTTTGAATTTCATCAGCTACCGTTGGAGGAACGTTAAGGACAATCAGAGAAAAGGCTCTACAGGGATCAGAAGCACCAAACTCCCTGACAAACTGTATGTAAGGAGCAATACTAATCAGGTCTTTTGCCCAGCATCACAAAAGGCTTCCAGACAGGAAAGCCAGTCCAATCGGATCTAATAATCTTCCGACCAAGTCTCCAAAGAGAACCTTCTCACATCCCTCAGTCCAAGCTGCGGTGTTAAAATGTAAAACCATGTTTTAAAAAATGGTTTGTACTGCTGAAGATAAATTCCCCTTTGCTGTAGGCAGGTCAGGCCAATCTGGGAGCACTTGGAAGGTCAAGGCAGGGATGCTGAAAGTCCACGTCAGAGGACTGAGCCCGACAGATAAAAGAGACGGAGGAAGGTGGGCACGCATCCTTTGCCATGCCAGTCTGGAAATTCAGAAGGGGGGCTCCAAAGTGAAGGAGCCCCACATCTTTCAAATCATGGAGAAAGGTTGGGGGGGAGAGAAACTTTGATCACATCCCTAGTGCTGCGTCAAGGGAGACACCCAAACCTGCCATTAATTATGGCAAGGAAGCTGGCCTGGATGACTCCATCATTTATTCATTAAAAACTTTTCAGCGGCTCGTTCGTAAGACATGGATCACCAACCCTCTGACTGCTGCGCTGTTTCCTCCCCAGTTGCTTCCTTATTTCTCCACCGGCCTCTGAAGCGACCTAAAGCCTCCTTCTCATTTGCCTGGCTGATGGGTGGAGAAGACTTCTATTATTCATGCTGGGTCGAGCAATCTGAGACGCTGGGGACAAAAGGCCTCTCCAGTCTGGACAGAGACGTGCTCTGGCTTGCGAGTGGCACTCCGGGGCTGTGTGCAGGGAGGGCAGGGCGGGTCCAGGCCTTCGCCCAAAGACGCAGGAGGACGTCCTGCTGCGAGACGGGCTGGAAAAAGCCCTCTGGTCTCTTCCCGCCTGAGACAGCGAGGAGCGTGCATCGGAAAGCAAAGAAAGGGGGGAAAGGGGGTGCTGAGAGAGGAGGCTCCACCCTCTGCATCCATCGTGCCCACCGTGCAGCCTCCCCCCCCACAAAGACCACTCTGGATAAAATAAGCCAATTGTGCCTTTGATGGACACGTCCGTGAGAAGGATTCAGTGAAGACTGCACATTTGGGGCCCGATGCCCCCAAGCTGCAGAGTAGTTACCATCTCCATGTTGCACTGATACCCCAACCTTTCCTCAAGAGAGACAGTCCCGGGGAGAGGGGCCTCTCTTAATTAAAATAATTAACCCCCTGTGAGGTAGGCTGGGCTCAAAGTCATACCACCCTCCGTGCCAGGGAGGTGGTCAAAGTGGTGATTTTCAGCAATGCCCTTTCCCCCTCCTTAAAGAAAGCAGAACACTAAAGGGGCAGTTTATTAACTTGTTTTCTGTAAATTTCACTCCCGGAACCCTTAAAAATATATTTTAAGGAACGGAGAATCCCACCTCCGTCCCTTTTGTGTGCAATCCTCAGGGGTCAGAAAAGCAGATGAACAGAAATGTGGCCAGTCTCAACAGTATCAGCCAACTCTCAATCAAAAGTTACTCACAGAGAAGTTTACATGCAATCAAAAGAGAAGCGTAGGTGCAATTCCGCTTCCAGGTGACCAGAAGTGGGTGTGTTTTGGGTGGGGGGAGCATGCCTGGAAACCAGTTTGCAGCTATGAGCTCTTGGCT